TTAAAAGCTTCTCATAAACATCTTAAATCTAAGCAAGTTCTTCATGAGATTGCTTAATAACTTCTTGGTTCAGGTTTGTATTAAAGATTTTTTTAGCTAATTTTTCATTATATGTGATCTTTGTTATAATAAAATCTTTCATAAGAAATGTATTAATCAATTAATCCATCTTTATAAACATTGTTAGAATCAAGATCGTACTATTATATTTGTCTTGGTATTTAGAAGCTAGGTAATAACAAATTGCATAATATTTGGTAAATCTAAAATCATCATCAAAAAAAACTGGTATTTTTCTACTATTATAACTTGTTAGTAATCAAATTACTGTATATATAAGCATCTAAAACATGTAATTCTTACAATAGATGTTTATTTGCAATCAAATCTTTATCTTTTAAAGATTGAATACTAACTGAAACTTCGATTTCGTAAGGAAGACTTAATTACTTAAGAGTAAAAGTAGAAACTGAGCCCTTATTTTTAATTACTAAATAATTTTTTCTAAATTTTTCATAGACTGATATCAGTATAAACAATAAACGTATATATATACTAGTACGTATTTATTAATCAAAATGATCAGTTGCTTTTATAAAACTAAATTGCGATAAATATTTTTAAAATTAAGTATTTTTAAATGCATTGGGTAACAAATTTATCTAGTGTTAATAAGGTTATTAAAGATAGTTTATTTAGATTTCTGATTATTTTTTCCTTTTTTTAGTAAAAAAAAAAATAAAACAATATATAATGGTTTCATAGCAATTCGAAATTGGTTTATTTACTTGTTTATTTTGATACATTATATTATAGACATTACAAAGTACTTATGCCTATAAATTTAATTTCAGTATATAGCTCTTAAATATAATACTAAATAAACTAATTATGACATTAAGATTTGATACCGAGCAAAAAAAAACAAGCTACATGCTGCTAAGAATATTAAAGAAATTATAATATTTGATGCATGCCTTAAAACCTTATTTTGTGCTGTATGCTGTAAATTTTTGATTAATGTGTTGTAAATAGAAACAGAATTTAGTAGATTTAGAATTCTAATATTTTAAGATAGAGTCTGTTATATGTAAACCTGATAAATTAATTAGGAAATTTTAAATCTACTTAGTTCCCTTTTTACTTACATAATGTAACATTCAACATACGCTGTAATATTGCTTTTGTTATAACAGATTTACATATTCCGTAATGTTTGAATTACTACATATTACTTATAAAATTTGACATGTAGTAAAAGTACAAAAAATTCACTAATTCTAGATAATACAACTACACACTACTAAAATTAACTAAACTACATTAAACAGAACACTACAACTAAAATAATCAAACTCTAATATTGGTAAGGCTTTGATTGAGATATGGAAAAACTTAGTTTAAGTAACTAGAGTGAATTAGATTCTTAGCGATAGTATCAGATTAGAGCTCTAGATTATGTCACGAATCTCTTTATACAAAATCACTAATTGTTATTACAGATTTTAATTATTGAGAATTAGTAGAATCCAACACTTTTACTACAGAACTTTTTAAGTTTTGAACTTCTAGAGTTATATACTAGAAGAGCGAATTTCAAGTTAAATACCCTGATTTTTTTAACTTTGAAATTTGAACTCTTTAAAGTTATCTTTTATACCTTTTATATTACTAGTGTATATATAATAGATAAATTCGCTAAATTCACTAAATTCAACATATTTTATATATATAATATATTTGATATATATGATATATACAACATATATGACATATACAACATATTTGATATATATGATATATTAGACATATACAACATATACAACATATGCGATTTTCTTTTCTATCTAAAGTAATGACCTCTTTTCGCTTATTACTTTTAGAAAAACTATTAAACAAGTACGTTATGCTAATTAGATTTGTCTAAAAAAGAAAAATAATTCATAGCTAGAAGCAATAATATATACTGTATAATTAATAATAAAATAAAAATAAAATAAAACTAAATAACTATAATAAAAAAAATATATATAGTGAAACCGTCACTACAGAGCCTGTTACAATGTACAAAAATCTATACTAATATTCTAATGCCATGTCAAAACTATAATTCATAGCTTTGGACTTAATAAATTATTAAATATATTAATTATTGTAAATTATAATAAAATAAAATTAAAATGAAATTTGAAGTTTCTATTTAATCTCCTAGAATCTACTTATACTTGTTTCAAATAAATTTTACTCCTAAAGCTACTCTTAAAGCTAGAAAAAAGCTAAAAAAATACATCTTTAATTTTTGTAATTTTTAGTAGCTTGTTAGTTTTATACTATACAAAATCATATTTTAATCTGTTACAATATATATTTTTTTAAAATAACTACAAAAAAAAATAAAAATATTCTACGTTTCTGGTTTTAGCACAAATGTGTTGTGCAGCTACCTTATTATATAGTACTACTAGTTTAAACTTTATACTAGCTATTTATATCTATATCTAGGATATAAAACATAAAACTATCTATTCTTGAGTAAAAAACTAAGTTTGAAATTTTCTATGCAACTCCAGCAAAACTTTTGTGATATATTCATATGAAATTTTTGCCATGTAGGGTTAAAGAATGATTATATATCATTAGTCACAAAATAAACACACATACATATATGTGTTTTTTCTTTTTAGTAGTGTATTATGTTGATTCTTTGTTAGAAGTACACTGTATTTTTTGGTTTACAAGTATTCATAAACTTCACTAGAGAGCATGTGTCGAAAACTTGCTTGTTATTCTCTTTTTAGACTAACTATCTTTATTTTATTAGCAGAAACTATGCTTTTATTAAAATTTTCTGTACAAAGATACTATCTCTTGCTAGTTATCTTGTATAAGAATACTTTTAACTTGCTTGCTAAATATGCAGAGGAGTCTGGCATCAAAAAAGCAGACAAAAATCACCTTAATTTCTGTAAAAACTATTACTTATATAGTTGTCTCTTCTACTTTTCTTTAACAAGTTTCTGTTTTTGTTAATTAAAATTTTGGTACAAATGATTGTTGAGGAGAGTTGGCTGATTATAAAATAATATTACCTGTACTATTTTAATAGATCTAAACTAGATTTATTTCTCTAAACACTTTAAAAAAAGTAATTTCAGCTCAAAAAATACAGTTTTTTCAAATTTTGAGTAATATAACAAAGTCATAATAATAAAAAAGTTTAAAAAAAAAATAAAACTATACTGATACAAACAATAAACAGTAAAAAGAAATATATAATAAGTTTAACAAAAACAAGAAAAATAAAAATATCAATACAAAAATAGCAAAACAGATCAGATCAAATTTTACTGATAATACTTACTAAGCTTGTAGTTGTCTTGTTTTTGTTAGTAGTTAATTTTTATTATATAAATACTTAATCTAAAGAGTTATAAATTAATTTAACAGAGTTTATTAAAGGTTGATTAGAAGGAATATTAAACACCATACTATATCACTATTCTTTGTTACAAAGGATTTTTAGTAATAATGATCTTGAAAATTATGATAATGCTTGTATTTTTGTTGAATCCAATTGGTAATTGTTTGAACAGACCTATATGAAAAAATTAGCTAATAACTGAAATTATATTTAGGCTATTATAGAGTATAGTTGTTGTTAGAAATATGAAAAATAGAATAAAAGAAACATTAGCAATTGACTTAGGCCCTGAAAAATAGAAAATCATATCTGATGTATCTATTATAGGTAAATAATCATGAACCAATCCTAGTAGAAGGCATAACAGTTGACCAGGAGAATATAAATAATTAATGCAACTATAAAAACTATAACAATGTATTCATTTATCTTTGAACCGTTGGGCTCGAAAACCTTATTTCATAACGCTTATGTATTAATAACATCTTTACAAGTTCTGAAGTATATATATACTTTTTAAATCAGTTTTGCCTAACCGAACTAAGATATATACTTTTTTTCGGTTCCGATCAATTCACCTAAATTTCACCTGGGGTGATGTCGGCTAAATGAGCTGTCGCTGTCGGTGAAATTATTGTCGGTGACAAAAAAACAAAAAATTTTGTGCGACGGACCATTTTTTTTGTGCCTGTTTTTTTTTTAGCCAATAAAAATGAATTTTCATCATCGCTGTGGTAAATCAATTTAACATCGTTAAAGCTTTCCTGACGTAAACGAAATGGTGAGTATCCATCAAAGGTTTATTGTGATACGAAAAAAGCTAATTATATATTCTTTGCGTTGTAGATTTTCACTCAACTTAACAGCGACAAAGGTCTCGCAGAACTCAACACATTTTTAGAAGAACATTCATATATTGAAGGGTAGTGTATGATTGCTTTTCTTTTTATTACTTGCGCAAGGTTATCCTATTTTCTGATGATAACTGGTCCGTGTTTCTGAGCGGATAATCTTCCGTTCATGAATGAAATCCTACATTTCAATACTCTGATTTACATTTTAGACTGTAAAACTTACTTGATCAGAATCAAATAACGACATAATTTATGTATTTGATTCATAGCTATGAACCAACTCAAGCTGATGTTTCTGTGTTCAAAGAACTTGCCAGTAAGGTTCCTGACCATGTGAAGTTCCCTCATGCCGCACGATGGTACAATCATATTGCTTCTCATTCTGACGAATTCACCTCACTGCCTGGCGAGGGAAAACAAAAGGGTGATGATGGTGATGATGATGTTGACCTATTTGCTTCTGATGATGATGAACCGGATGAGGAAGCAGAACGACTAAAGGCTGAACGTCTAGAAGCGTATCGCAAAAAAAAGGAATCTAAACCAAAGGTTATCGCTAAAAGTATGGTTTGCTTAGATGTCAAACCTTGGGAAGATACTACTAACCTGGTTGAAATGGAAAAGCTTGTGAGGGGTATTACTTTGGATGGGCTCGTGTGGGGTGCTTCTAAATTGATTCCAATTGGCTATGGTATCAAAAAGTTACAAATTTCATGTGTCGTTGAGGATGATAAAGTTGGCATTGGTGAGAATTTTATATTAAATTTCCAAATTTATGCGAATATGTATACTTATTTCTTTTATTATTATATAGATGACCTAGAAGAACAAATCACTGGATTTGAAGATCACGTTCAAAGCGTTGATGTTGTTTCCTTCAACAAATTGTAATAATATATTATTGAAAACTGCTACTTAATTGTGAATATATAATAAAAATTATACAATCGCTAAATCACTAATTAAATGTAAAGATGTTGGATATCTTCGCGGACTTCAATCCCAACTTATTTTTCCTGTAAGATCATGTATTCTAAGCATTTTTTACGAATTCCGGGTCATATATATTTACTATTGCTTTACCTGCCTTAATTCTGGTTCTTGAATGTTATCATATGGGTGGATTTTGTGATTTTGGTGATATTTACGAATAAGATCTACCAATCAGATAAATAAAAATTGTGATTATTGCGAATTTGTCATGCATTAAATCATTAAATTCACATTGATTGGTTGATTTATTTGTGGCTTGAAATTCTCACATTTATATTCAACAACCAAAAATAGGTATAATTTTTACTAGTGATGACACCAAAGGGTCTGACATGTAAAAATAATCAATCTGCTAGCATATAACCCTAATATAAATGCTAACTCTAACTTTAATGAACTTTTAGTAAATTTTTGTATTGCAAATCTGCGCCACAAACCTAATGCACCAATTCTGCAATTTGATTGGCTTATTTCGAATCATTTGATCACGTGATATTTTCTATTTAGTGATCTTCCCCAGTATCGCCAACAAATTTTTCGGAAAGTCTGTCTACGGACACGTACCGGTCACGTGATAGTAAATGTATCAACAAACTACCCCAAGTAGGGTGTCCAGGATTATGCGATGTGAAATTATGCGCATAATTGCCCATTTTTTCGCATCACATCTGCTTTGCAAAATCAAGAAAAAAAGGCATAAAAGGCACGTGGATAAAATATGATGGGCCAAAGGGTGTTTATTCAGGTTTTGATAAGTGGCAATTCTGAAAACTTCTGAGCAAAAAATTCTAAAAAATTTCAAAGATTTGGTATAATTGACAAAATCTAATTAAAAAATCGCATAATTCGCATTCATCACATAATTGACCTTAGTAAAATCACGAAGTTTTATATAGGTTTGGTCTTCTATTAGCTAATGTTTTAAGTATTGGTAATTTTTCATAAAGATATTTAATCAGCATTTCAAGCCACTTGTTTTTTTTTGTATTAGTACATCTAATTCCAGTTTGGTTTTTAATTTTCTTTCACAAGATAGGACAGTAATATATATTTGTGAAGTTTTTTGTTTCTTTCTTCTGTATTGTTGATATAAGTCTTCAGTCTATACCTATTTGGAAACTAAGAACTATTTGTATAAATTTTCTAATAGGTTTTTTATTGTCATTTTTTCTCAACACAAAGAGACATTTGACTCTTGAGAAGGTTTTTCTATAATACTATTCACCTTTTTTAATTTGGTTCCTTTTTTTGTCAAAAAATCTGCTCTGTTATTCTATCTATTTTTACTATGACTCTTAACCTTTATTAACTTTAAATTAATATTTTTAATCTCAACTATTTTTACTATATTCTCTAGTAAATTATGATTT